TATATACTTTTTCAATATATGCTACAAGATATCGATATTTTACAGTTCCCTAAAATCAATCTTACATTATAGCGCAAATTCAATTACTTGCTTGTCACCATTGACAAGTACAAGTAATGCAGACTTTCATTAATTTAAGAGAGAAGAACTTCAAGTTCATGGACAAAATAGTGTCTACATATTTGTGAACCAGTCACAAATATTATATTGGAAATGTACAAAATACATTGGTAGCAATTCAAATGTAAATTGCATATATTAGTTTTTTCTCAATGTCTATAGTGTAAAAAAAATATTTAAATTTTTTCCATTGTTTTACTTTAGATATCTAATTACGTGAAAAATGTATTTAGGCAAAAACCTAGGGAAAGTAATTTGCACAGCCGGTAGATGTAACGTGATATTCCTCTGTAATTCGAATTTATAGCATAATCATTTGTGTATTATATCTACATATTTGAATGTAACGTTCACAATGATGTGTCTTAAGGGTGTGATGCATTTAAATACGATTCTGCTTTCTGCAACTGATTTGTAGTTCTTCTCTTGATTTAAAATACTGTATTGTAAGAAAGGAAATGCATAAAATATTATAACCATATCCAACATGTATTACAGACGACGTTGCAATTGTGATTATTTGCGACAGTTCCTGAGAATAGTGTAATATGAGAAAAGTAGTGAAAGAGTATTAAGAAATGCTGGTGTGCTTTTGTGGTGTCATGTGTTATCGGTAGCTACTTCTTTAATTGTAGCTCTGCACATTGGACACTCTACCAGCTGATTCGAACACGTTTGGCAGAATCCTCTGAAAAAATATTCATTTTTTTTACTTGATATTCAATATATACCTGGTTAATAAGATAATTTATTCGTATTACCTGTGATTGCATGGTAGCAATCTTACTGAAGCTCTTTGGTCAAAACACAATGTACATGAATCTTCTCTAACACTAAGCTTTCTCAGTTGAGCTAAATATATGTGTTTAGGAAGCACAACCTTATCCTCAGGCTTCAAAGTAGCATAATCGTTAAACTTCTGATATTCGCGATCAGTAGGAGGATACTTGAAAGGTATATTCCCGAAATTAAAAAGACATTGCTGGAATGACATGAAACTAGCTGCCGCAAAAAATCCAGACCTAGCACAATTTTAAATATTTTACATTAAATAAATGTCTGATTAGGATATATCGTGGTATACAGATAAAGGTATACATACCGCACTTTTTTAAAAAGTTGAACACATGGTTTGAGTGGTACACCATTTATAGAAAATATTATTTCTAATTTTTTCAAGTCTAATAAACAACCTAAAATGTCACCAGCTTTCCAACATGGTCTTTCATGATATTTTTCACTTTTTGCATTGTACCAGATTAATCTACGACAACCATCATAGGACAAGGAATATTCATCATCACCTATACCATACCCTTCCTAAAGTGAAACAAGCAAATAAGCAAAACTAATTTGCATATTTTAATCATGTACATTATAGTACAGATATAAGTGTTTACATGATTTAAAAATGTGCTATCCTTTGTAGCCCATCCTATTTGCATTACGCCCGTAGTTATGACAAGTGTTTCATAGTACCAAATTCCTGAATCTACTTGAAACGTGCATCTTACGCTTTCAAATGAATATGCATCACATCGAGCCTAAAATCACGATATATACAGTAATTAAATTTTAGTATATAACTGTTCTTCCATATAGTAATAAACTTTCTAAAACTTACTTCCAAACCATTAGGTGATATTTTCAGGTACTCACTTACATCCTTTGTGTTTAACATTACATTAATACCAGTTGTATCAACTGAATCATGAGAATACTTCCTACCTTCCATTAAAACTAGAATAATGAAAAAAATATATGTGTCTCTATCTAGCTATTTTTTCTTATATTTTACAATGCGTGGCTTGATCTTTTTAACACTTACATAAGTTATCTAAACACCATCGCGCGCAAAAGCCTACTTGACGACGTACATAATGATTTTCTGTTGCCCATTTTTCCAATTCTAATAGCGGATTCGGTTTTTCTGCCATTAAACGTTTTTTGATAGTGATCTTATTCTCACCTGATAAAATAAATATAAATAATTTGTTTTAATCAAACAAATTAATGTTCGCATAGAGTATTGTAATTAATGCTCACTTGTTTGCGCAAATTTTTCCAAAGCTATTAATGAATATAATACCACATAAGGGTCAATATCTTCTTTCTGAAATGATATGTAAATTACAAATAAAAGTCATCAGAGGATACATTTTTCTCTATAATTATTTAGGTAAAATTGGTTATATTTACTAGATTTGAAATAAGATAATCCAAAGTTGCATCAGATAATATAGCAATACTACTTGGACCAGCTAGCTTTTCTGCTATGCAACCCAATACAACACAGATGTTACGCTGTTGAGTTGCACTGGTCTGTACATTTCCAAGTTTTTGAGATAATTGAAACATATGTGACAATCTTAGAACTGATTCCTAAAAAATTAAGACAAATGTAACAATGCTCTATCATGTAATATACAACATATAGCAATACAAGTATACCTTTGAAGGTAATGGACAATCATCTAATAAAAGAGTAATAACAGAAGGACCTAATGGGTTATGCATAGGAATAACATTAACCATTGAACTAACAACTTGTATCCAGCCATCTTCTTTATCAGCAATTGCATGTAATTTTAACATTGCAGGTGGAGGCTCTTGCTCACTAAATATGCATATAAATTATTAATAAATAAATATACTAATAATATTTTGTTATATATTTAAAACTATTTATGATTTGTTGTACATACTTATCAACAAGAAAACCAATAACTCCAAGAGTTTCAAGTACTAATTTATCAATATTTGCTGAAGTTGGAAATTTAAAAGTGCTAGAAGACACTTCTCCAGATGCAACTGTACCTACACTTGATTCTGGAAATACAGTATTTTCAGTCTCTGCATGATTTGGTACTTGAAACACATCAATTTCATCTAGTGGATCGTTACACAAGCAATTGCCCATTCCCACAAGTTTATAATGGTACTCTTAAAGATATTCTACCACATATATTATCTAAGTGATATTTACACAATCAAGAGACATGTGTGTCTCTAACTGTTGTATCCAATGTAACTAAAAGTAATGTCTTTTTAAAAAAGTAATGTCTATGACATATAAATTGTTACAAGTATGCAAACATATAAATACTAAATTTTGTAGCAATACATACTAAAAATATATCATAAAAACCATGTCCCTTCATTACAACTAACCAAAACATTTGTTCACATTCTTATTTGTTTCTCTTGTCATTCTTTTTAAATACATAGATAAATGCAATTTCAACAGGAATTTATAATAAGCAAAAATCAGCTTAGAATTATAATTATATATTTGTTAAGATAGTCTATCTGAAAGTGCAAAAATTTAATAATAATTGTTTAAAAAAACTTATCTTGTAATATGTGTAAATGTTACATACTTGCTTGAGAGCTGTCATTTGGTTATGTTTTTATCGAAATAGAGGGAAGCTATTCAGTTCTTTATCACCTTTCCTCCGTTATCTACGTTGTAGGGCAATGTAGAAAATCATATTTATCTTGTTTATTTTGCAATAAAATAAATTTTTATACGATATTGCACTCTGGAAATTGTATTTCTTAGGTTATGTTCTCAATAATCTTCAAAACAGTAATCTCAGCATAACAGGATACGCACACTATACTATCTTTTACGTGGGTGATCAATTCTAAATCTTATATGTGATAAGTCTTTTTACGTCAGAATATCTTCTTAACGTTCATTTAATTAACGTTGCAAGCGATAACTATTTTGTAACGTATTTTTTAGTTACACAACATTGTCGAAAATATTATGATATTTTTATTCAATTTCATATAGTACAGATTTTGTATACGATATACGTAATTATTATTAAAATTAAACAATACGACTATTTCACAGATATGTAATATTCAAAAAATACCGATAAGAGTAATTTGTATATAAATTTTTAATGTATAAGTTTTTAGTTTATATCAATAAGAATATTAAATTAAACAAATACATTTTACACAAATACTTTCCACAATTTAATGATTTTATGAAATAAAAATATGAAGTGGGACGAAAGCAACTATTAAGGATACTGTTTTTGCCCATTTCGCATTTGTAAAATGAATAAATACAAGTTGTGAAAGTGTACTTTATTTCAGAATATGTATGTGAAACTTGCGGCAAGTCTTACTCTATAATGTAAAACCTCTAATAATGTAAAAAGTTAGGATTTTTAAGTACTTTGATCTATACGGTGTTCAGCAAATATGTTTAATTAATAAAAACATAGCTATGCAAGAAAATTGATTTGAAGGATAGCCGCCATATCGAAGGATAATCTACGTTAAAACGATAATATATATCGAAGAGTCGAAATCGCAAAGCAGTCGCGGTCCGTCTGGTACTTTCAAGACGAATTTCTTAACATACATCGGAGGCGGATCTTTGTCCGTTTTTGAATATTATAAAAATAATACGCTACTAGATTGTCTGTCATATGTGAATTTAAAATCGCAGGTTGAATAAATAAATACTTTGATAAAAATTGTCGAATGACCCTTTTTATAAACCGTGCGATGCAATCACATGGGGAAGGCGAGAGAATGTCAACGATCAATAGTATTACGAAAATGAATTGGTGATTCGTACGTTGAAAATTTTGTGCACAACATGGTGTCTGGGGACCACGAAAGGTTGCTGCCCGAGCCGGAGAATTACGTGAAATGTTTTTATGACCTTTTTAAAAGTATCGCAGAAGTACAGAGGTGCGAAATGTGTATAACCTCCTACAAGCTTTGTTTACTTGATGCTTTTGGCGGTGACTTCATCTGTCATTTATTGAACTCAATAATTATAATAAAAGTTCCGTTAACTTTGTTCTTATTTCCATTGAATATGTAATTTAACATTGTAGAGCTACTAAATTATGCAATTATTTTCTTAGATGTGTAAAGTAACCTAAAATAGTTTGTTTATTAAAGCTGATCTATACTTTAGAGATTGTCAGTTTGACAGATCTCGTATGGAGTAAAAAAAATTTACTTACGAAATAATTTATGATTGTTACTTTTAATTATTTATGTTAATTTAGCGTGAGAATCTATGATAATATATAATTATAGTTATTCATTGAAAAGAATAAAGATTTAACATTTTTCTCAAATGTTTATTTTTACAAAAATGACCTTTATACATGCAAATATATTAAATACCATAAAAAATTTCATTATTATCATTATTTATAAAATTTTTGTATGTTAGACCATGTATTTTACTTTTTAGATATAAAGAAGAATGGAGAAAATGTAAAAAAAATAAATCTATACGTAAGAGGGATAAAAAAAAGGTATCATTGATTTTTTTTTTGTGTTCATAGTTCTCTTTTATAATTTGATTTAGTATACAAATTCCATGTTTACAGATTGATTTAAATGGAGATGTAAATTATAATAATCCACCAGAAATAGAATTATTTTGCAATGCTTCTGCATTTGCTGTATTTGCTAGTGTTAGAAATGCTATTTTGGAAAGGTATGCTAGAACAACAAATGAAGTTTATAGAGCATCAAATTGCAATTCTCCACCTCCACCGGAGCATAGTGAAACTATTGATTCAGAAAGTGATGATGAAGATAGGATATCAACTATACAGAGTTTACCAAAGGTAAGAAGCAAAATTACATATTAAATACATAAAAAGAATTATGTTTAAATTCAAATATATTTAGATTGTAGGTATTGGTTTACGAAGTGTCTTCACATTGATGAGAGAAAGTAGAACAATTGAACCTATTTTATGTACAAAAGCACTATCAGCTTTACTGGATGTATTACAAGGACAACTTCCTGAAGGCCTGAAATCTGAACCAGATGATGTTATTGGTAATGTCTACAATGTATAAAATTGTTACCTTTTTGTAACTCTTATATATTTGTATTTTTTTATAGATCCACTTTTTGACCTATTATTGGATCTTGCAACTTCACATGGCCCAGAATCAGCAGCTGCAAATGATGGTAGTCATTTGACTGCAGTTGCTTGTGCATGTTTATTAAGTCTTGTGGTTGTTAGAGGTGATACTGGTCGTTTATTAGCAGCAATAGCAGCTTTACTCATGTGTCCCAGAGCACTAGCAAATTATAATATATATTTTTATAGATGCCGTGTGTATTAACATCTTTACAAAGAAGTGTACAAGCTGTTCTACTTGGAAAACTTGTGCGGCCGGACTGGATTACATATGGAGTTCCTAAATGTGCTAAGATTTATACTTCTACGCTTAAGTTACCAAATGAGATAAATAATATAATATTAAATGGACGAAGTTTTGTGAGTGATGGAAAGTACCTGTATCTGCATACAAGTAGAGGATTATTAAAGATTGGTAGTGGTCATGGTGGAACCATTTGGGGTCATATGTATATTCACAAGGCAGACTTTCACCCAACGGAAACGGGTTGGCTTGGTTATGCAAATGTTAGTTTAATTTATTTTTTTAATGTATAAGCATATGAATATTCTTTTAATACTTATTTTCTTTCAGAATACATTGTATTTTAAGTACACACCGAGAAAGCAGAGTGAACTACTAATTATTGATGCGGAAACCCTCGCTGTCACAGAAATTGCTGTTTTAGAAGGTCGCGATTGGTCATCCTCTGTTATGTTTTCTGACGGTGAATGTTTGGGAATGATAACAGCAGGAAAAGATGTCAGTTTATATTCTTTAATCGGTTCTGTTAATATGTATAATAATTAGGAAAATAATATAAATTTTATACTATTAATTTCAACAGGATGGTTTTGTAGTCAGAACAATAAATACATTAAGTAATCCAGTTACAGTCGCATCAGAATTACCCTTAAAATTAGCAAGAAAATGTGTAGATGTTTTTGGATATGCTGCTTTTGATGAAGAACAAACTGCTCACACGTTAAATCCGGGCTGTGATGATGAAATTGCTTCAGTTACAGCAGGAAAAGAATTTGCTTTGTTGAAAACTGTATCTGGAAAAGTACGTAATTTGCTGTTCCTTAATACGCCGAAATTTTCATTAAAATATGAATTTATATTTAAATGTACTATATTTTAAAGATTCTGTACAGTGGAAAAGGAACTTCCCTTGGAATGAAAACTAACACAAGGCCTAATAGATGGGTAGAGCTAACACTTGGAAAAGGACCAAGGCTCGTAAATTTTGCAACCGGTCATGATGGTCAACATGTTGTAATGGTTATGGATGATGGTTCAGCTTTATTTGCTGGTATTGCTAAACGTGGAGAAGATGGTGATAATAGTAAATATATTATTAGTTGATAATATGAAATTGATAATATATTTCGATACTTCTGTTAAACTGTGATATTCTTGAAATTCTTAGATAAAGTTAGGCGCCAAGCTAAGCCAGTTAAACCTAAAAAAATGACAAAAGTGGAAGGACATTTTATTGTGGATGCTGCTTGTAATAATGGGTCGATAGCTTTAGTTACAAAAGAGGGTTCTTTGATAATATTTGGCAAAGATACTTTGCACACCGATCCAGACACGGGAATGGTTACTGATCTGAGAGAAGTTTGTATTGTTCATGTTTCATTAGGAAAAGCCCATGCCGCGGCATTAACTAACAAAGGACATTTGTATACATTTGGAATAAACAATAAAGGACAATGTGGTAGAGATTTTACAACAGTTCATAGTGCTATAAATAAAGATATCTCTGCTATTGCTGTGGAAATGGGTACAGCAGAAGATGAACTTCTAGTAACTGAAGAAGGTACACGAAATACTTGAACAATTTTTTTTTTTTTATTAGGAAAGGAAAATTAATGCTTTCATGTGTACTCAGATGGTATGGAATCTACTGAAGATTGGGAAGAAACAAGAGGAATGTGTCCACCAGGGTTACATCAATGGAAGCACGGTGTTTGTATGGTTTGCACAGTATGCCGAGAATGCACTGGCCACAATATATCCTGTTTAAGTAGTATACGCCCAGATCGAAATCCAGGCCAGTAAGTATACCAAATTATATACAGATTACAAGGAATTAAAATATTTGTTTTCAGGGAATGTGGCTGTGGCAAAGGTGACAGTGGTTGTGCAGAATGCGGATGTTGTCGTACCTGTGCAAGGAGAGGTGCTAATGATTAAAATTCAATCTTAAATTATTTACATTAACGTTGACAAGAAATTTTTTGTACATTGTTTGTGTTATACTCTAGGTAGAAAAAGTTCAAATTTTCGAGAATATTTACAAAGACGTCTTGGGGAAATAAAGCAAAAACAAAGGACAAAGGCAGGCCCAAGTACCGCTAAGTATGGAATGAAAATGAAAGGTTCGAATAATAAAATATTAGTAGATGCCTGTGTGAAAAAGATGTACTGTGTATATTTTAAGATTAAATTAAATTGTAATACTTTATAAATTTTACGTAAAACAGCCGGACCAAGTGTAATACAAAAAACTACTGCGAAAATGGCATTAGGATTGGCTACTAATTTGATAAGTGAAGAAGGTATTGGAGGAAGTGACATTGAACGAGGTGATGCTGCTAGAATTGCTAGCATACCACCAGCTAGAGTTCCTATACCTAGTGAAAGTCCTGTAGTTCAAGTATCATGTGGCTTACATCATACAGGTAATATTGAAGAATTGTTCTCATACCTTTTTAACAAATTTATAGGATGACATTTAATAATTGTACTATGTTACATATAGTGGTACTTTTACAAAATGGTGAAGTTTATACGTTTGGGAGCAACATATATGGTCAGTTAGGCGTGGGAGATTCAATAGCGCATGCTGGACCAGTTCATGTTAAATTGCAAGGAATCGCAACGCAAGTTGCCGCTGGAAGTAATCATACTGTGGTACTTACGTCAAAAGGCGAAGTGTTTACATTTGGAGCTTATCAAGTTTGTATCATTGTCAGAGCTTAAATATGTAGAACTTAAACTATAATACATTATAATATAATACATGTGTTTATTGTAATACAGAAAGGACAATTGGGCATTAATTGGTGGAATGGACAGAATGAACCTTCAAACACCACTTCCCCAGTTAGTCGCCGTTCTGATAGGTCGCAGCCACGGCATTGTTTTCCAAATCTAGTTCCAAATATTGGTCCACAATGGGGTAGACGAGCAACATGGGTCGGTGCAAGTGGAGATCAAACTTATGTCAAAATTGATGAAATAAATTCTATTAATTTAACAAGGAGTACTGTTATGGCAAATAAAAATTGCATAAGTATGTTCTTCTTTGTAAATTATCGCTCCACCATTATTGAATTAAGAAGTATACCTAATTATAAAAAAATTGTTTCAGTTTTAATTCCACATCAAACTGATCACGTAAATTCTTTCAAATGTTTAGTTATAAGCAAAAGAGATGGCACTTGTAACAGTTACAGTGGAATGGATCAAGTTGATTTCAGTAATTGTGCAACGTGTTTAGATCCTTTGTATAATGTGATTTGGACTTTTAATCCTATGAGTAGTGAAATAAGTTTATATAATATTATATCAACGGAAGCTAGAACAATTTCTGATTTGGAAGCATCCATTTTGAGTCCGGGCTTAGCACTGCCTGTAGTATCTAATTGTTTTGTAACGCGTGCTCAAGCTGCAATGCATTTATTGGGTTGTTTGGACACCCTTACACAAGCACAAGATGAAAATTTGTGTATAGTAGAAGAGAATGAATGCAATCAATCAACAAACGGCAAAGTGTACAGTCGTGAAGATTTTGTTACAGTTAATAGATTTGAAAGTGTGTATAAAAATGATTAGAAAAAATGAATATTTGTTTTCAATTTGTTTCGATATACATTCGATATATTTTCAGGTCTTGGTGGTGGTTGGGGGTATTCTGCACATTCAATCGAGGCTATTAGATTTAAGCCCGACACTGATATTTTATTGGGAGGATATGGGTTATTTGGAGGACGAGGAGAATATACGGCAAAAATAAAAGTAAGTGTTAATCATATATTTAAATGTTAATAAATTATGTAAAATTGTGGTGAGAGTTATATTAAATGTTATCTTAGCTTTTTGATATTGGAATGGATGGAGGGGATCAAGAAAATGATGGCGAGCTTTTAGCAGAATCAGAAGAAATACCATATGAATGTGGACCCAGACAAAAATATTCTATTTTATTTTATGAACCAATTGCTTTACAAGCAAATAGGTGGTACATTGCATGGGCTAAAGTTAGCGGCCCCTCCAGTGACTGTGGATCTGGTGGTCAAGGAATGGTCACAGCGGAAGACCAGTTAGTAGTTAAACTAAATTTTTCTACTTAAAACAATAAAAAATTGTATTGTGTTATAATTTTTATTTGTTTTGTTTTCTAGAGTTATGTTTTATTTTAAATCTTCGAAAAGATCTAACAATGGAACAGATGTGAATGCCGGTCAAATTCCTCAATTATTATATCGAATAGTTACACCCGAAAATCAAACTCCTAATAGGCAAAGAGATCAAATTGAACCGGTTTACGTTTTGAAAAGAGATTTCAGCAGAACAGTCAGTAAAGTAAGTATTTATTTTCCCGATATTTCGTTCGAGGGAAGTGTAAATGAAACTATCATTTCAGGAATGCTTTCAATCACTAATATCTCTCCTTCAATGGAGTTGGAATACGTTAAAAGCAGCATTAAATGATTCTACGGTGCATACCACATCTTCTCACGCGTTGCTTGAAGTGGAACGTTTAGTCTATATTAGTAAAGCTAGTTTGCGGTTACTTAGAACTTATACCAATGAAATTTATCCCAATCAAGGTGAGTAATGCATTTCTCTTATGAAGTATTATTTTTTACTTTAATGCAAAATCGATGATTTACAGTTGGAAAGAAAACTCCAGCTGAATCTGTAAGGCTAGCAGAATGTATAGGCGAAGTGCGTGCGTTATTGCATCAAATTTTGTCCGATACTGTGCCATTAAATACAAAATGCAAGGGAAAAACGCGAACGAGTAAAAGTAAGGTTTCACACACTACAGTGTATTATATATAAAAAATTGTTTTTCTTCTTTATAATGAAATATAAATAAATACGTTTATTTAGGTCCTAGTGCCATAAACAGTAAAATGACAAGTAGCATATTAGACGAATGTCATAGAACATTTGTAGCTTGTTATCATGCATTTTATCCAACAGCATATTTGAAGTGGTCGTGCTTATGTGATTTGCTATCAGAAATTGATAGAGTAAGTATTTTCTTATTTTACAAACTGAAAATCGTATATAAGTACCATATAAAAATCCTATAATTTTACAGGAACAAGGAAGATCTACAAAAGATCGACTGTTATCAGGTGTCGTAGCTGCTCTGTGCAATCCTACTATTCGTCTTCGGTGTACATTTCCAATTTTAAATAATATCATGGATAGTAGCGATAGCATGAAACGACAGCTCAGTCCTTCTGACAATACTGGCTTGTTGATGATAAATTCAACCGAAAGTCATCAATACCCGATCTTAGTCGAGCAGATCAGTTACAAGTCTCAAGTGGAAAGTACCGGCAAAGAGATTTTAAACTGGTCGTTTCGCGATGTCCTCGATAGATTGTTAGATTTGATTCTAGTCCCTGTGAAGAAAAGTCTTTGCAGAAAAAAGATTCAATCACTGCCAGAACTGGTACTTCATTGTTGTTATTTGTTAGCACGAGTGATCGCTGAATTAGCGGCACAATCTAGCGGCAACGAAGATGAACTTCAAGCTGCTTGCGGCAGACTTATGTATACTACACCTTCGAGATTTACCCGCGCGTATCAAACAAGATCGTGGAACACCGGTAATGGTTCCCCCGATGCGATCTGTTTTTCGGTCGATAGACCTGGTATCGTTATCGCCGGAGTAGGCATTTACGGAGGTGTTGGAATGTACGATTACGAATTAGAACTACTAGACGATGTGAGTATTCTAAACTTTTATATACAAATTATTGCTTTATCATGTTGTCGTATGATTTTAAGCATTATTGTATCCCACATTTTATAGCAAAATAACACGGGGAATGATCCATCCCATACTCAACGTTGGAGTAGTTTGGATTTTACACGTGGCACTTTCGGGCCAGATGACTGTGTTAACGACATAGTAGAATTAAAATTTGATAAACCTGTGCCCATTAAGGAAAATGTAAAGTATGCTATTAGATTGAGAAACCGCGGAGGACGTACGAATAACGGTGATGGTGGTTTGAGTGTAGTTAAAGGACCCGACGGGACTACGTTTACTTTCACGGCTTGTTCCTTGAGCTTTAATGGTACATTTTTAAATACAACACGTCACGTGCTTTGTTTTACCAAGAGTAATAATAAAGCTTTTTCCTTTAGGTACAACACAGACCAGAGGTCAAATACCGCATATCCTTTATTATTCAAACCCCCAAGATTCCGACGGTCAACATACGAGCAAAGCAATGGCCGAGGTACAGGCAAGAAAATGTGCCCTTGCCATGACAGCCACGATTATTCAAAGGTCCAATGAAATTTTCGCATTAGCGAGAGAAAGGGCGGAAGAAGTAGTAGCCACTGAAGTTCTCGGTAATGCAACATTCGTGACAACTCTTTTACCATTGGTTATGGCACACATTAGTCCCCTGGCTACATCAGATCCTAGGGTAAAGATCAAAATTCCTAAATTTTTTTATATATCATTTTGTAGTTTGGTTTTTAATAAATTATCTCTTTTTCTCAGAGTGGAGTTCACGTTCTTACTTTAATACAAGAAATGTTACCCCACGTTGCGGCACTTAATTTGTTATCTACAAGCTCCGAATCGATCTCACAACCTGAAGCTCAAACTCACGTTTCTACACCCGTTACTACTAGTCATCACTATACGTGGTTAGAAAGTGATCATCCGTATAAACCTGCTACAGTATCCCACTACAGAGTCAGCTTTCCGGAAACTGTGAAGTGGTTAACTATTGAATTCACGCTAGACTGCGGCACGGCTCAGCCGGAGGATTATTTGCAACTGTACATTCCAAATATAATTGCCCCTACTATTACGGGGTAAGTAGACTTAGTTTACGTTTTTCTTCAAATATCACAAGCCGAAAATATCGTAAAGTTATCTGTTTTCACGTATTTTTTAGAGCATTCGTGAACATACAATCAGAGGATATACCCTTGTACTGTCCTGTGTTGCATAAATTGAGCAACATACAAAGTCAGTGGCCTCAGAACGCGATCGTGTTACCAGGTAAAAGCAATCGTTGTTTTACAGAACAAATTTAAGCTGCGTGTTTAACATTTCAATCGACTGACTTGTGTGTTATCTCAGGAAACGAAGTTATATTCTCGCTGGAGACCGCCTCGGATTACATGAGAAACGACAGGGCAATTACATACGGGTTTAAATGTCTGGTTATTGGATACGATTGGATAACATCGGGCAACGGTTTAAAAAACTTAGAAATTGAATTATCATTCCTCGGCGGAGCCTGTGCCGCGAGTCTGATGAAGAGAAATCTTACGTTACCGCCTGTGTCTAGTACGTATTAATTCATCCGAATTGTAAATTCTACTTTTTTTTCCTCCTCGAATTAATCCTCGTTTCCCTTACGCTTAATACTCACCACCAAAATATTCACCCACGTCTAATAATAATCACGGTATTTAACGGAGCACGACTATGTGATTCCAGACGAAGAAGTAGAAGAGGATTTGGAATTGATGCAAGAAACTGCAAAGAGGATTTTCTCCGTGCACTCGACGTTGCTTGGACGAGGATTCGCTCTAGCTTCGCCTCCTACGGTCTCCCAGGCTCTCGACGGCGTTCTTCCATTCAGGTAAGTACCGAATCACAATGCTTCACTCTACACGACCAGTAGTCGGTAAAGAACTGTAGCTAAAACGGGGTAGCGTATTTGTTGGTAAAACGTAATGCCAACATAAGTTCCTACAGTCGAGTAAACTGTGACGATTCAACCAAAACAACAATCCTTCGTCATAAATACCACAAAAAACCAATTCTATTAATTACGTTATTGCTTTTTTAGCATCAGTTCTATAAAAGTACTCTAGTAAATCAACTTGGACGGCGAGTCGATCGACCGATCGATTAAAAAAGAAAAACCGAATCACTTTGCGTTCTCGAAACGCAGCACGTTGAATTGCTGCATTATACTCCGGAAAAAGTTAAGCGTGTACTGCAGTTGTACCGTTACACCTTCGAGCATTTCCACGTTTCTACGCGAGCAACCGTAAATAGCCGATGATCGATCCGATGACGACGTGTATCGCGAACTTTCGCATAAAAAAGCCACGCGTGTATTCATATTCGCGTTACGGGCACATTGGGGAAATAGAGAGAGGAGGAAACAAGTAACAGGTTCGAGGGAGGATATATATTTTGGGAATATCGATTAGACACGAAGCCAGTGTGTTCTGTTCTATGCATCAGCTTTCATCTTTATTATCCCGTCGTTCTCGATGATGGTGTCTATACGACGTTACTTTCCTCCAATGTAAAACAAATTATACAGTCGGCTGTCGTTATATCACAGTCTCACGATAACTAGAACTAAACCGTCCTTAGAAAAACATAATTCATCACCAGGGTCGCGTTAATTGTACGCGTATACACTCTTCGGCGGCGTGCAAATTACGCGCGGGGGATGGCGAAATCAGCCTCGCTCCCTCACTCATTCCACGACGTTTCTTCTTTTCACGCGCGAACTCTAATTGGGCGTGCCTTGACGAACAGTTGAAGGTAACGACGACGACGACGAGCTGGCTCGTAAGGTCGCTGAATAATCTCGAGATGCTCCGAGGACCAATTTCTGCTCGTCCCTCCGGGGAATAGAAAAAAAGAGAAAAGAACCGCCGCGAGAGTCGTTACGGAGAGCAAGTGGCGGGCTGCATCAATAATGCATAGCTCACACGTGCGCGAGATAGCTGCACAACGCGGGGAGGACAAAGCATCGCTTACGGTACACTCTCATTGTACTTTAAAGACGCGAAACACAGCACTGTAATACCATTGAACCAACGTATCCGTTCTGTTCGCCAACCGAGAGACAGACAGACATACACTCTCTATGCTAGTAAGAGGAGTAACCGAAACATTTTCCCCCCGGTTTCTCCAATTCCAAAAGTTCCCTTTCACCGATGGGCGACAACGACGACGACGAAGTGGAAATACCAAACGCCGATGCTCACCTCGGCTCGCGAAACCCAAGAGAGGAGGAGAGGAGAGAGAGAGAGAGAAGAGAGGAGAACGAATTATATCGCGTCTATTAATCACCGTGGAAAAGCGGCAGCTCGAAAGCGTGGAACGATACTCAAGTGCCATAGCTGGAGAGGTTTGTTTTAAGCGTTTCAACGTATGCGAGCATTATTCAAGGGTCTCTCCTCCGTATCGAGATTAGCAAACGGGCGAATTCGAGTTTTCTCCTCCCTCCCTCGTCCTCCGAGCTGGCGAATCGATTACGGTATTTTCTCGCGTATCCCTCGAGCGCATTTATCAAAATTAGATACCGATCGGGATGATAACAATAACAACAATTTATTGGCAAAGTCCGAAGCTCGTAAATAAACCTGTGAAATGATACAATTAGAAACGAACGATTTTGTAAGGGGTGGTGGAAAACTGGGAAAGGGGATGATGATTCGGCGAGAATTATTCTGTGGAACGGTTCGAGAAAGCCTTCGGTATTA